TCATTTTTCTAATCCTTTCTTACAATATTCATAATGAATTCGTGTCAATTAATGAAGCTTGACTAAGTAAGCCATTCTAAAAACATCACCAATGATATGAATGTCTAACCTTCGCAATGTGCGTGTGTGTGTGTGTGTGTATTTGTGTGTGCGGGAGTGTGTATAAGTGTGTGTGTATGTGTGTGTGTGTGTGTGTGGGCGCGTGTGAGCTTATGGAGCGAAGCTGTTAGAGTATGATGAGCACATGCTTTACGATGTTGGATGAATAAGAGTCTCCGTGTCCTCATATGACAATTTACAAAGCCACTCAGTTACTATAGTTTTACATTCGTGCTTAGTCCTATTCGCTATAAATAAAATCCTATTTGTTTTATTATACAAAAACCGACCAAGAAAACATGAAATTCTTTGGCTAAACGATGTTTTATGAGGGGCACTACATGGTAATTTAAATCTTCGCGTAGACGACAAGGTAGAAGATATCGGTTGACTGTGTCGGGAGAGGAGTGAGTGTTGCGTCAGCACAACCTGTAGTACAAACATTTGTCGTACTGTTGGTACTTTACAGTGGTCATATAGATCCCTTGTAGGAAAACGATATGGCTTGAAGTTTGTCACTTTTAGTACTGCTCTCTGCGCTCGTTCCACTCGTATCAAATTACTTTTTGCCGCGCCACCCCAGGACAAAATACAATATCCAATCAACGATTGGCATAATGCGTAACAAGCTGTTCTTAAAATTTTAGGTTCTGCGACATGCCTCAAGTGCTTAAAAATATAAATTAACTTACGGATTCGCCCCGTTAAAAAATCGATGTGAGGTGTAAAACTAAGTTTTTCATCTATGATCAATCCTAAGTATTTTATAGTCGTAGAATTATTTAATTTAGGACAGTTACATGTGTGATGAGTATTTACTACATGATTATGTGCAATAATTGGCAATATTGCCTTATTCACAGCAACTGAATCCCTTAAGGTGAAAGTCAAATATTTGGTCTTGTCTACATTTATAGACAAGGCATTTAGTGTTAACCAATTCATTACCTTATCAATGCCAGTTTGAGAAGTATTAAAAGCTTGGTTCCAATCACCCCCTTTAAAAATTAATGCTGTGTCATCGGCAAATGCTAGTAGTTTTCCATCCTTCAGTTCCATTTTGCACATATAATTTATATAGACAAGGAATAGTGTGGGCCCAAGAATACTACCCTGCGGGACACCATGTTCTACTGGCACGCTCCCACTGAGATGTTCACCAATCTTCACAGATTGTGTACGATCGGTCAGGTAGCTCTCAAACAATTTTAACTGCTTGCCCCTTATACCAATCTTTTCATACTTCACCTTTAACAAGGGTACGGAGTGTACATGTTGCAAACTAGTAGCATCCATTGCTATGCAGATGATAGCACAGGAGATGCCAAAAGATTTGCGACCGGCTCGATTCATTGGCGTTACGTAGAGATGTAGCTTCACTCTGCATTCTCTATCGCATATATCATGGAGAGTGCTCCCAGGAATTATTCGGACAAATTTCCGCGATCGTTCCACACGGCAAAATTTTCATCCTTATTAAAAGGATAGTTGGCGCTCCACTACTGTGCGCTTGTATTTCGATACGATACGATACGATCTTCAAACCCTCAAGAAAAGAGCGTACTCCTTCCTAAAAGGCCGGCAACGCCTTTGTGACTCCTAAGTTGCAGACTTTCATGGGCGGCGTCACTTCCCATCAGGTGACCCGTCTGCTCGTCTGCCCCCTCTAACATGAAAAAAAAGGAGAGGAGGCAGTTGGTCTTGAGGCATAGGACAAGACAGTCGGTCTTGGGAGCTAGGAGGCGGATGTTGATCGTCAAAAGCTGAACGTGCTCGGTCGTGTGTATTGCGGCTATATTGAGTAAGAGCACAGCTAGGTGAGTCTTTATTGGTCATTATATTATAGGATTACTAAATTATACGTATTTATATTTCGGTCTGAGTAACGTAGTGATATTCGAGTAATTAGATGTAGTTTCCCTGTTAAATTAGCTTAAGCATTTGGTATTGGTTAAGGAACCTTTGAATGTGATAGAATAATTAATGACCATTTAAAGATCTCTTCAGTGTGGTGAATCGATTTATAGGTGAGGTGAGGCCACCCAGGGTTGACACCCAGGCAGCTGTCATTGCCAGACGGTTATTCGGTGACCCGTTATTGTGGAGTATTTATGATGTGGTTAATACATGCCGCGTGTAGACACTGTATCGGATGTGAGATTATTATAAAAATTTAAGCGATCTGGTAACTGAGTTTCTACATATCGTTTCCAGGAGTCTATATAATCATTACAATATACACCTTTCCTAAGGCATAGTTGAAATAAATTTTCATCGGTGAAAAATGATTGTAAATGCTTTAAATCATTGGAGTCCAGTGTTTTTACTAAGTTATCTAAGCTCGAACTTAAGAACTTAAAAGAATCTATAAATTTTATTTGAGCTACTTTCTGAGAATTAAATGGGAAAATCTAGTGAAAGAAACATATTTTTCCTTGGTTCTTGGAATTAAATTGATTCGACCGCTAACACTTGAAAGTTCTTTTCTCTAAATAAATGACAATCATATCCTGAAAGATTTTGAAAAATTATGGGAATATATTTTACAAACTTATTATTTAAGTTGCATGAATTATGAGCTGGACCGCGATATTTACCTGTGAAATGATCATGGTCTTGAACGATACAATCATTATTAGATTATTTTTTTTTACAAATGTGACATACTGTAGCAGTCTTAAATGAAAGAATCTCTTCATTATTTAACGGGGACATAGGCTATTCAGACAGGCAGACAGGCATTCAGACTAGGCGAAGATAAAATGTCATATAAACTTTCTAAATCCTTAGCAATAGATTCTACAAATTTTTTTGAACAATTTGGACCTCGATAAGATACTAAATTATTAAGTTCTGGATTGGTCTCGCAGCATATATAATAGGCGAAACAAGTTGCTTCATGAATTTGTATGCTTTCGACATACTGACTTTTATTCTTATCTGAATATTCACGAAGTAAGCTTTCAAAGTCTCCATAAATAACAATAGGTATTCTTTGAGTCCTTATATAATTAGAAAACCGAAGCTTGCAATTCTCTTCTGGGAGCACTGTTTGCATTCGTGCACAGTTATAATTATCTAATTTTGCTTCTGAATCAAAGTATATAAAACATTCATCACATAAGTGAATTTTAGATTTGTGTTTTGTCAGTTGATCATGAACTAATCGAGCAAAATTTTTTATTTAACAGAAATGACTTTTGCCTGCTCTTTCAATTAATAATAAATTTACGTGGGTCAGTTTTCGTTGTAAAGTTTTGTATAATGGTCCAGTAATTGTGTTATTTTTTTCTAAACCATAAACACACTTATATGCGGTTTTTTTTTTCGAATTGTTTAATGTCATCAAATGTTGGCGGGAAAGATTTACCATTTATATTTAATAATTTAGAGTAATATGGATATGATGAAATTCTATTATTGTTATACCGTGCTGGATACATGTGTGCTACAATACACCAGAGAAAACAATGTCTGTCTTTATTGTAAATGTTAAGACATGATTTTGTTTTAACAATTTTTACCGGTAAAGATATGTAACTACCAGCTTTTAAGGGATTATACTTAACTATATTCATTTCCAAATGATTAATCGACTCTATAGCCCAACCAGATTCTGATAATTCAAATTCTGTACACTTATACAGCAATTTCTGCACACATTCTTCAAAAAATAATTTATATTAGTATTCGGAAAAATCACATTATACTTTGTATTGAAAGATTTCATAGACAATTCTTCATTTTTAGGTAACTTGTACAATACAAAAAGCTCAAATTGTATCTTAATCGATCGATGTTTTAACCGCAATGTCTCAATAATCTTGTAAATCATGCTAGAAATATCTGATAAAAATATCTCTGGTGATATGTTATCTAAACTCATTGGATTAAATCTGTAACTAGCAATTCTATTTTTGAAAGCAGTAACTATTATTTGCACATTATCAGTACTCAACAAACAGTTTGATTTATGTATATTACTTTTCTAATGTGATGAATATTTTTGGACATAAATCTTACAATCTGTGCAAAATTTCATTTTTGGTTATGTAGAATAGAAAAAGTAAAGCAATAATTCATAAATTTTACTTTAATAGTATATTCACCAAAATAAATCTTTTATATATTTGTTTTGACCTATGTTGTTTAAATTTTGATTTAAGTAGGTACTTCAAGGTCAAAATTACTGAATTTTCAAAATTAAGTTTCAAGGTCATAATTACAGATCTGGATTTTTTTAAGTAGTTAAAGAATAAGATTCATGGTCATTTAAGCTTTGAGATTCATTTATTCGAGTTTATTGGCTTTTTGGTTTTATTTATTCGAGTTTATTGGCTTTTGTTTTTATTTATTCGAGTTTATTGGCTTTTGCTTTTTTAGATTTTGGTTTACTGAAAGAAATCACACAAATAATGATTAAGAAAATATATAAGAAAAGTACTTATGCAAGATTATATTTTATTACAATTATCTGAGGAAACAAACATTAAAAATACATACTTAAATTAAAACAAAGGAATATAGAATAAACTGACGAAGTGATCTTTACTAACCTTTGTCTATAAAAAAAAAAAGATTTTTAATCAAATTTATACATTATAGCAATATAAGAACAAAAATATGATGAGTCCTTTAAGCAAATTGTCGTAAGACACTTACCTAATTTTTAAAATACGTTAGACTGATAGAGTATCGGCTGTATCTGCCGATAATCTTCTTTAGCAGCTTCTTTAACAAGTTTTGTGACTGCTTTCCATACCGGACTGCTGTTATCAACAGCCGATTTGAATGTAACTAGGGCCCGTTTCCAGCGGTCGGTTCCCGAGCGTTTCCTCCGCTTCCCGAGCGTTGTAAACATGCAGTTCCACGTAGTAGTTGCCCTGCCGGGTGGGATCCCGCTAGAGTGTATAACCGGAACCGCTACGTCTTGATAAGAAGCTCCGCAACGCAGCCGCTCGGAGGGGTTCACCGCCGAGTTCTAGCTCGTTCTGAAATAAAAATGATTATCATTAGAAAATTAAAAACAATAGCATGAAAGAACCTTCAAAAATATATTGACCCATAAATTTTCACTGACCCCGGGGAACAGTATTTAGAATATCTTAGTCAGTAGGTATGTGAACTAATATGTAAAAATAATGAAAAATCAAAATTCAAGAGACCCACATGTACAACTAAAAAACTTCAGCATAGGTAGGTACCTCTGAATCCGTCTGCTTCCTTTTTTTACTTGATGTCGATGGCGCTGACAAATCAACATCCGACTCCGTCTCGGACCCAATAAAGCTGGATTTTACCACAGGAGCATTGGTCTTTGTCCATTTCTTTGTTTTGTCGACAACCTTCTTCCTTTGTTTCTTTTTTTCTACCGACGGTGCTGGCTGAGATGCTGGTATTTCACAGTCAGAATCGAAGTGATTGGTCGACCTAAAATTAAGAATGCCATAAATAAATTTCACTCATAAGTTCAATTAACTATTACATATTCATTTATTAAGTTTATTATTCGATATTAAGTAATAATTGTAGTATTATACATACATACTTGTTGTTCCTATGTTAAAAAATAATATTGAAAAGAAAAAAGCTGTCAATACACGGGATGTGTGTGTGAGATATTGCCGAATTCATATAAAGATTGATTATTTATTTACTTGTAATTAATGTAATTTAAAATCATGTATGAAATAACAGATAGTGAATAAGCATATTTTCATTGTATGAATCGAAACAAAGAAATTGATAATACACGTCGCAGAGGGTAGTCAGAGGTGGGGCAGAGTGGGGTTGTTGTCACTGTGTATTTAATAGCGAGCGACGCAGTTAGAGGACCACTTTGTTTCCGAGACTGAAAGAGAGCACTACTCTGCCCCCTGTCGGTTCTATCTGGCTCTGAGTACCTATTACCTACATATTACAGATAAGTATTTTTGTTATAATTACCCTTATTATGTACAAAATGAAATTAAGATATTTTAGTTTGTCTATACTAATTACTAATGTTTTGTGTCTTATAATAAACTTGAAATACTTAAATAAATGATTGTTTAAGCTGCCGACATCAGAAGTGGGATCGACTACTTGCTTTAACTCGCAAAATGTAGAACTATTTTTTTTTTATTACAGAGAGAGAGAGAGTGAGTGAGAGAGATAGTGTGTGTGGGAACTATGGACGGGGAGCTTGTGAAACATTTGTTAGAATCTATACAGAAGACGCTTTCAGCAAATCGACGCTATGGTGATGTTGTACTACCTGTCTTCCACCCGGAGAAAATGCACAACGGTGCATAGAGCTGGTGTAAGAATATTGAAGATCTTGGTGGAGAATTTGAGTGGAGCAGTCTGCAAATGGTGGCGAAAGCCGGTAAGGCCCTTCGGGGCTCTGCTTTTACTTGGTTTGAAACATGGGAACCAGAACATCGTGACTGGGAAACCTTTCGCTGAGATTTAGTTGATCTGTTCCCAAGTATGAAAAATTTGACAGAAACATTGACAAAAGCCGTTTTGTATAATTCTGAGTCTGCAGAGACTTATGTCGAATATGCCAGAGATAAAATTCTGCTTTTTAAAAAGACTAGGGTAGCTTTTACCGAAGATCAGTTGGTCGAGCTTGTTTGTGGGGGGGTTCGCGATGTTAATGTTCGTTTGGCTTCCTTCAATAATTCTGTGTCTACAACTAACGAATTAATAACTTTGTTCTCTAGCTATGTTAAAAACCCTCGAAAGCGATTTTTTGACAAAAATGGTACCAATGATGAGCCAGGTACAAGTGTTGCCAAGAAACCTCGTTTTTCCCCACTCTTCAGATTCTTTCACCACTAAGCATTGTTATTCTTGTGGTCAAAAAGGCCATATTCAGTTTCAGTGTCCAAAAAATTTTAGCTCTAATAAAAACTATTTTGTAAGCAAAACTAAGACTAGATCAAAAGACCTAGCGACTACTTCTACTAATAATAAAACTAATGATTGTGGGTTTTGTAAAAAGAAAGGTCATACAATAGACAAGTGTTGGTCGAAACAGCGACATGATCGTGAAAAGCAAAATAATAATAAATCTGTTAATTGCACTACTCAGTCAGGCCTTCATCTAACAAAAGTCTACATTAATGATATTACAGTAAATGCATTAATCCGGTGTCACTTGTTCTATAATTAAAGAGTCCATCGCATTTCGGTTGGGCTGTCACATTGCGCCTTGGTCGATTAAATTGAATGGTATCGGCTGTGGTCGCTTGAATACTTACGGTAAAATTACGGTACCAGTTCGTTTTGATGATGTATGTATTGAATTAGAATTACATGTGGTCACTGATGATAACTTTGCCTATGATTGTTTAATTGGACAAGATGCTGTCAACTATGCTGATATTGCCATTGTGACTGACATATCTGGCACAAAAATTATACGAAAGAATGTAGTAAATTACGCTGATCATAATGAAGAAAATTTACTTTTAGAACGCATTCAAAATTTAGATACGGATTTAAGAAGAAAAATTAAAAATATTTTTGATAAATATCCAAAAGTATTGCCTTCTGATGAGTATATTGGTAATGTTAATACTGGTACATTAGAGATTAAACTTAAGGTTGATAAGAATATTAATTATCGTCCTTACCGTTTGGCTCCTGTAGAACGTGAAAAGGTAAAAGTTATTGTGAATGACCTTTTGCGAGCCGGTATAATCCGTGAAAGTGATTCTTCTTATGCAAGTCCCATATTGTTAGTAAAAAAGCGTGACGGTGGCGACCGAATGTGTGTGGACTATAGAGCTCTAAATACTATAATTGAAAAGGAAAGATATCCTCTTCCCGTAATTCAAGACGAAATTGACCAATTAGGTAAGGCTGGGTACTACATATCTATCGATATGAAAAATGGCTTCCATCAAATTCCGGTTTCTCAAAATAACATTAAATTTACAGCTTTTGTGACACCAGACGGACATTATGAGTATGTTAAAATGCCTTTTGGTATATGTAATGGCCCTTCTGTTTTTCAACGTGCTATTACAAAAGCGGTTAAGGATCTAAAGTTTCTGAGAGTTTACATGGATGATATACTCATCCCATGCGAAAGTATTGAACAGGGTCTTGAATATCTCGACTTAAGCTTGGCAGCACTTGTTAAGGCTGGATTTACGATAAACTTAAAGAAATGTCAGTTTTTCGTTACGTCTATAGAATATTTAGGATGGATAATTTCAGCCGAGGGTGTGCGACCCAGTGAAACAAAAGTTAGAGCCTTGGTCAATGCTCCCGTTCCCAAAACTGTCAAACAGGTTAGGCAATTTATGGGCCTTGCCAGTTATTTTAGAAAATTCATTCTTGAATTTGCTTCTAAAACTGCTTGTATAACTAAGCTTACCAAAAACGGACAGAGTTGGGAATGGGGTAATGAACAAGATGCGGCACGTAAAGATATCATAGACAGACTGATATCGGAACCCATACTCTCTATCTTTGATCCTTCACTTCCTACAGAGTTACATACCGACGCCAGTTCAATTGGCTATGACGGGATGCTTATTCAGAAACATGGTACAAACAATAAGGTGGTCGCATATTATAGTCGTCGCACTACTGAGCCTGAATCCAAATATTCGTCTTACGAATTAGAAACCCTTGCGGTCTATAATTCTCTTAAAAACTTTAGAGTTTATCTTTTAATCATACGATTCAAAATGCTATTAAATATATATATAATGCTATTAAATCGACAATGTATAAAAAAGACCTCTCTCCTAGAGTTGCTAGGTGGTGGACTTTCATGCAGGATTTTAACTTTGAGGTTATTTATAAGAACTGTATTTACGTTAGACATGTTGATTATTTAAGTAGAAATCGTATTGTATTAGTCTCCTCGAAGTCGAAGAGTTTGAAAAATTCATTTAAGGTCAATTTGATAACGGAGCATTCATCCTGGTTGGAAATAGCTCAGCACATGTAACAGTTATTTTTTTAGTAAATTTGTATTGCGTACGGAGTTTTTAACAGCGACATCTATTGCCCTGCGTCGCATTTCTTGATTTATCCAAAGTAGTTTGTAGCTATAGTATTGATGTTCTTCGTCCGCCATCGGACCACTAGATGGCGTTGTTTTTTTGGTAAGTCATAGTAATTACTTATCCTGACAAATTGTATTGATGTTAAAAGTGTCTTGTTATCGTAGGAAGCGAGTTGCTTTTGATCTAGTTCGTGTTAACCTAGATAATAATTTGAGTGATAGTTTAAAATATTAAAGTAGGGATTCTTTCTTGAAACTTCAGAAACCGAACATATATAAGTCCGGCTTTCAGCCACAGGAGACACTCTGCTAATTCTTGTCTTTCGATCTTAAATAGTATTTTGTTAGTCTGGTAATTTCAATGTAGTAATTTTTTAGTAATGTTTTATTGTTCGAAGTACCCACGCAAGTGGTGAGTATATTCATAATTTTCATGTACTTATTTGTTTCTGGAACCTAGTCGATAATATGAGTGCTAATCCATTCGTAGGGTCCCAGATTTCGGGTCAAGACGGTCAGTCTCAGACGGCGTGCTTGTTCATTTGTGGCCTTCTGGTGCGAAATCAAGTTTCTTGGTACCCTCTGGCAAACTGGCAGTCACGCGGCTCACCAAACAAGCGGACAGCCGTACTCAAGGGTTACGTACTTCTCGTTAACTTTATTTATATCATTAGTGAACCTTCCTTTATACCTAATATAAATAGCCGACTCGGGCGGAAGGGGAAGTGAACTCCTGGATTGAAGACGAGGAGGCTCCGAGCAGCATCAGCTCGGCTCTGACGCGCGCCGCTGCGGTTTTTTTTTTTTTATATACCCACTATTTTTTATTGTAACTGATTTTTTTTATTGAAGTATACATGTATGTATGACTGAGGTGTAAGTTGTCTTTCTCTAAGGAATCCCGTAGGTATCCCACACGCACACACTTCTGTTTTCTAAAAGGCGCCCTGAGGTAATCTTGTGAATCTCTCCACTGGGTCAGCCGGTGAGTAGTCCGCCTGCTAAGAAAAGCGGAGACCCAGAAACATTATCTATGATAGAAAAAGTGCAAACCGGTGAGTTATATGATCACTATGTATTTAAAAATAACTTACTTTACTACAAGTGCCCTTTAGATAAAAAGCTTAAGGCTTATGTACCCAAAGGAAGTCGGCTCAGTATCTTACGTTTGTACCATGATGAAAACTGTCATGTTGGACAAGAAAAAACATTGCAAAAGGTTAGAGAGAATTTTTGGTTTCCTGGTATTAATAGATTTGTTAAGAAATATATTTCTCATTGCTTAGTGTGTGTTAAAGGAAAGTTTCACAGTGGTCCGCACCAAGGTTTTTTGCATCCGATTGATAAAACTCCAATACCATTTCATACCATTCATCTTGACTGTACAGGCCCTTTCGTCCAATCAAATGAAGGCTATAAGCACGTTTTAGTAATAATTGACGCCTTTACAAAGTACTGTATCCTTAAACCCCTGAAAACAATGAGTGGCGAAGAAACGTTAGGCGTAATTCGCGATGCTTTAACAATGTTTGGAATTCCATCTAGATTGATTACTGACCGTGCTACTAATTTTTCTAATGAAACCGTGACTAGTTTATTTAGGGATTGGAACATAGTATAGTATAGTATTACCATATGATTTCGACCGGTACCCCACGTGGTAATGGTCAGGTCGAACGTTATGTTGCCACAATCATTAATATGTTGACCACTACATGTAGTACGGAGGCAGAATGGCCGAACTCTTTGCATAAGGTACAACAAACTCTTAATTCAACCGTACAAAAAACTACGGGCTTTTCACCATTGCGATTATTAATAGGTCGCGACGTAAACATGCTTACTATTCAGGCTCGACTAGCTGATATAGGTGAATCAGGACCCTCTAATGTAGAGCAAATAATTGATACTAAGGCTGACAGGATTATGGCATACAATAAAATGCAATCGACGGCAGATAAATACAAATTACGATTCGATACTGCAAGACGAAATAATATGAATTATGTGTTGGGAGATATCGTTTATGTCTGTCAAGATCACCGTCGTCATAGCAAACTTAGCCCCAAGTTCATAGGGCCTTATGAAATTATAGAAATACTTGAGAATGACAGATACCGACTGCGCGAACAAGGGCGATTGCGCAATATTGTAATTGTCAAAGAAAAAATGAGAAAATGGCTTGGTGAATGGACTGATGAAAATCGGACGGCTGAACAAAGTATATAAAACATTTAATTTAACTATTTTGTGAGAGGAAAGAATGATACAGTGAGCTCACTGATAGGTGTTTATGTGTGTGCGAATGTATATTATGAGTCAGCTTGATGAAGGGTACATAATCGGACCCAACACGACAAGGATGACGTGTGAGATATTGATGAGGAATACGATAATTGTGATGTTTGCTGCG